AATGTCAGGAACAGTACAGAGAAACTTGTGGAACACAAGGGTAAGTTTTAGGATTTCAGAGAAATCTTTAGGTTTAAATGAAACCAAAGGAAATTGGTGGGGAATTCTCAAGAGAGAAGTTCTGTTTTTTCAGAGGAGAAATGAGAGAGAGAACAAACTAGAAAATAGAGATGGATACGAATGTATAAAGGTGAATGTGAAGTTTGGGAGATTGAAGGAGTAAATAAAAACATGTTTGTGGTAATATACTGGAAATGAGAAAGAAGGAAAAGTGGGTAGACAGAGGAAGACAAGATAAAAAAAGTTGTGGAATCACTTAGAGAAAATGCATGAAGAAAAGATTGCCACAGAGAAAGGGTGTTGAGAGCCATAGGATTATGACAGGTGAGAGAAACAGAAAGATGTTTTCCTATGCCAGAGGAACTCTGAGTAAATTAACAAAAGACATCTATATGCCATTGAAAAGATTGTAGAAAACCATGAGTCATGGTTCATATGTAAAATACTGTAAGTGGGATCCTGTTGATACAATGAAGAATTGTGGAAGTCAGAAAGCTGCTAGATGACTGGTAATAATGATATACAGATAAATGAAAATTATCACAATTAATCTTTAAGTACTACTTTGAGGCCCTAGGTTCTCAAAAGTGCTGTTTTATTCAGTTTTCTCTGTTAATCTTTGTATATTTCAGGTCACTAAATAAAATAATAAGGAACAAAAAAACGTTTAAAAGAAAAAGTGGGGATGGTGTTAAATTGATGCACATGAAACAGTGACTCTTCTTGAGATGTCTGTTTGTACTTTGTGTAATGGAATGGCTGACAGCTGGTTTCAGTTGCCATAGTGTAATTATGTAGAATAGACTTTTGCGATGACACTATGTCAATTAAGGAATCTCTCACATTCTAGACTACAAAGGACCAAATGACAGTACAAGATATTTCTTCCGTTTTTTTTCATAAAAAGATAGTGACACTGTGTGAAATTACAGTCCTGTTATGATGACACAAGTCAAATGATGTGAAAGATTTCTGGATTGATTAAAAATCATCAGCATTATAATATAGAATATGTATGATTTGATAAGTTGCTGTTATGTTTTGTTCATTCTTCTTGGGAAGATATTTGGGGGGGCTGACAGACTGAGGGTGTTTCTTGTTATATTTGAACTGGTTGTGTCAATGTGAAAAATGCTACTTATATAACAACGTACTTTAAATAGTGACACTTTGGTCTGCAGAAATATTTTAATCCAATACATCTTGAGTAAATTTTAAAGCCATCGCAAAACATGAACTAGGGTAGGAGGTGGTTGTATTTTCCCATATATTTTTGTATGTCTTCCATTTTTTAAACTAAATCCAAATGAAAAAGAAATTATTACTTTTTTCTTCTTCCCTATTAAAGTAATCATGCTGTCCCCAAAGTCTGATAAAGTCAGTGTTTTTATTTTTATTACATAAAGCGTAATAATGCATATTCTTCTTTGTTTTTATGGAAAATACAATATCAAAACACCCTGATGCATAATGAATTTATATAAAAGGCTCTTGAATTGAATTGAAAGAAAGGATGCTATAAGCATTTCCTGATAATAAATGCAATTTCTTCTGGTCTCTTAGTATTGATTGTATGTGTTTTAATAGGGTTTTTTCAAGTAAAAAAAAGTCTAATTTGCATGCAAATTATATAATGCTTCTAAATGATACATGTGGAGATCCTCTTCTGCCTGTTTTCCTGTGATTATTGATATCTGTTTAAGGCTTCTTTTTGTTCTCTGTGTTAGCAATGTAGTATTTATTGACATTCTGATGTAGGAAACCACAAAACATCTTATCCAGTTAGATTAATTAATTTCTATGGAAGTGCATAGGAAAAAAGATTGTATGAACAAAGGCAGGAGCAGACATTTATCTCATTAAAAAATTCAGAAACATTCCAGTTTTAGACTTGCTTCCTCAGTGACGTCTGTAAGAAACTAGCCAACTGAGTCATCTTACTATTTCAGTGTCTACAAAAATTACTCCAGACTGTTAAGGTAGCTTGCATTACTCCATGCCCTGAAGTAACTGTGTCATTTTAATGAAGCCAACCTCCCTTTAATTCTCATCCTTTCTCATGCACAAAATGTGGTGTGTGGTTACCAGCATGCCAGGTCTGCATTTCATGTCTATTTTGTGTGCAGCCTACTACACTCTGATGATATGAAATGATCAACAGTTTTTTAAAATGTGACCATTCTATGAATACTCTACTTTTAGTGTCACTGATAAATGTAATGAATGTTAATACATGTTTTCAGCTTAAAAAATAAAGCTACATAAGCACAATGTATTTGTGTAACTAAACATTTAGGATACTATACACATGCTACAAACTCATTTATTACTGTAGTAACAGAATGATTTTCAGTTTTGTGACACAGTTTGTATAACACTACTCAGTGTAACTTACTAGACTTTATTTATCTGCCAGTTTTATGTCAACTATGGTAAAACATTTTCCTAATTATGTTTTATATGTTAGATAATAAATCAACACAGTAAAGGCAGGATAAATGATTAAATAGAATGGAAGAACAAAGAGATGAAGCAACTCAGAGTTGGGCACCTGAAGCCCTGCCCACAGCCTGGTCTCCATGCTACACTGTGCCCTGGGTATCAGGAAGTTTGCTTCTTGCTCTCGAGCCACTGCACAGTCATGGTAGCAGCACGTGGCAGTATCCTTTCACTGGTAGTGAGTAGTACTAGTGGCAATGGGAACAGTGGTTACACTGGTTTTCAGGAAGGTAGAAGAGGAAAATTAGGGAACTGCAGCTCTTCTGAGAGAATGTTATAAGTTTGCCCATGGTAAAATTGGCACAGGGTGACCAGTTGTTGGCAGACCAGGAAACCAAGTCTGCACTGAACGTGTCCTTTCCTTTCATTTTTAGAGGTGCTCACTTCAGCACAGTTGAAACAAACTAGTGAAGCAGTGCAGAAAACTTACCTTGCTGCTCCAGAATGTGAATGTCTTTTAATTTATCTTTAAAAATTTCAGGTGTTAAGACTAGAAGATACATACTGTTTGATAGAGTTCATTTGTTGTCTTAATTTTTAGCGTGGCAACGTGTACTATATACTTTTTGATACTCTTATTTAAAGAGGGTGCAGTTCCTTTTTTCTCAGGTGCTACAACTACTGCTGGCAGCTGTAGCAACTCATGATCATGACAGCAACATCTTAAAACTTCCCAAATCGGGTCCAAACATGTACTCCATCATGTTTTCCCAAAAGTAGGAGTTCAGCAGAAGCTGGACTTACCCTCATTGGGACTTCAGTTCCAGCCTCCTTCTTACCAAAGTCTGGCATGATGTTCTGAGACAGATTTCCTTAGCTCTCCCCTTAACAAACCATGATCTTGATCCTATACCCACAGTGACCCTGGTCTTGTCTCTCTAAAGGCATTTGTGCCTTAACATACCCAATCTTTCTGTAGCCTAGCTGTGCTCAAAGTTTGGTTCGAGCTTGCACAAGAACTAAAATGTGCCAGCTGTGTTGTCATTGCTTTTACTGGTACAGCTCAAGTGTGAGAGTGTACTTTACGGATATGTAGGAAAATTAGTTTTAAAAAAGGAATATTTAACAGCTTTGCATTCTAGGTGTAATAACTAGATGTATATATTAATTTTAACAAGCTAAAAAATGTAGAAAATCCTGAATGAAGTTGCTTGAATAGAAATACACCTTGTTGTAATTGTTTCCATTGAACCAGAGTTGAAGATAATAAAAATAATAATCCTGGACAACCTAGGAAGGGAAACTATAACTCTAATATGTGTGAAATATAAAATTGAACAGAAGTTTTCTCTTTGAGTTAGTGAGAAGAATCACCAGTACTAGTTTGTATTTATTCCTTTAGAGTGGAAAAAAGGAATGGCTAGATGTAATTGCTTAGGGACAGACAACTAGTGTCACGTAAGATGCTGCAGGATATCTAGACTGGTCTCTCAGTGCTGCTTAAGAAAGACATGGGTCTTCTGCATTGGCTGTCACTTCTGCTGTCTACAAAGTTATGTGTCAGTGACATCTCCAATATAACTGGACTTATGTGTTCTGCTGCCAGATTGAGTTTACAGTGTCTCTACTGGCTGTCTTTAGCAGCTCTAACAATCTCTGACACATCAAACCAGTATAATTCTTCTGGAAGAGCAAAAATATTTGCTAATATGTACAATTTTCGTTTAACTAATACTGCTTCACATTGGAAAAAATGAGAATTTGGGATAATAGAGTGCCTTACCAGTCACCACAGGCAAAATGATTGAAGGTTCTCCCAGAACAGTTGTATAAAGGGATTACCTGTTCAACCAGGGTTAGAATTTCAATGGGGTGTAATAATGTCTAAGAAAATCCCAAAGAAGTACAGCTATTTTGTGTTTCCAGGTCATGGAAAGCGGCTCATGTTATGCAATAGACCAGCATCTGTAAGCAAAAAGTCCAGTTACACCTACAAATACATTTATTGAACGTTGGCATTTTCTTGGTAATCTCTATATGTGTCTGTAGCATTTGGTTTGACTTTAGAGAATTTTATGCTTCGTCTTTTAATATGCCTGTTGAGAATTTGAACCTCCCAAACCAGTTGGGCTACTGCCCAATTGACCTGGGAATGGAGAAAGTATTTTCAATTACATTATGTAGACATCTTAGTTTTTGAAGGTAGATTTGTTAAGCCGCTAAAAATCCTACAACCTACTCAGACTGAAGATGCTTTTAACTATTTTGCGAGCTAAAAAGCAAAGTTTATCTTTGTAAAACCCACAGTTTGTTGACTTTCTTCTCAATGTCTTTGACATAATGCTGTATAACATGTTAATACGTTTAAGCAACGTCAGTGTTATTTAATATATATGGTTTTTATTCTACTGCCAGTTATTCTCTTGAATGTTTGAATTTTTGCTTCCTCGGTATGTGACTATCTTTTTTTAATTATTTCTTCTTTTCTCTTTTTTCTCCAGAACTATTATGGAGCTGCCAAAATGATTCTTTCTGACAATCCACTTGGCCTGACATGTGGAATGGTGTGTCCAACATCAGATCTCTGTGTTGGTGGCTGCAATTTGTATGCCACTGAGGAGGGACCAATTAATATTGGTGGATTGCAGCAGTTTGCTACTGAGGTAGGTAGGACTTGTCTTAAATTCTTTGTATGTACTGTTGAGTATTGCCTAAGTGGTTGCCTTTGTTAATGAATTGTTTTAAAAAAAAATTGATACTAATAAAATAAAGGCGTAGGAAGTTAGAATAATTATCCTTTTTCTTACAGCACATTCAAAAGCTTAGAAATACTTTCATAATGCAGTACATTATAGGAACATAAGGAACATTATTTGTGAACAAGACGATTCTTTAGAAATGCTAGTAGTTGAGACAGTTTCTTTTATAATGAAGGATTTATCTAAGCTGGGTGAAATTGTGGATGTTACTCAAGTAGGCTGCATAGGGGAAAAGATCAAGTGCACCTGCATCCGTAACTGCATATTAAGGAGATGTAGAACTGTTCTGGGCATAGGGTAGATCCTATAGTAGAATTAATGTGCATTTATACTGGCTTTGAGAGAAAGGATAAGCTTCAGATGAATTCATCTTTTTATTGTCCTGTTTTGTCAAAACTACGTAAATACAATTTCAGGTTGACCTAAAATACACGTTCATGTGCATCTGTTTGGCTAGATAGAGGTGCATACACGTGTGTATGTGTCAATTTATTAGTTCATAAAGGTATCTACATGTTTTGGGTACTGAAGCAAGGGTTGTTAGTTGCCACTTCATGTTAGGAAGTCTTCTCAGGAGTTTCTGTTGGGGTTCTTGTGCATTGTTTGTGATTATGTAGTTTCAAGGCTCCAGTTTCCATCTGAAGAAAGAGGCAACTGCTCATTTGTTAACTCCTTTGGAGGACATGGAAGATTTGGACCAAACTCATGGTCTCAGCTGGCACCTCAACTGATCTATTTGTAGTATTGTTGGGTAGAAATTTGATCTATGTGTGTGTTAAGATTGCACATTTCTATACAGTCCTTATTGACGTGCATGTCCCTCTTCTGTATCTGCCATTTGTCTGATTATATTTACAAACGTACGAAGAATCACAGAATATGCTGAGTTGGAAGGGACCCACAAGGATCATCGAGTCCAACCCTTAGCCCTGCACAGGACCACCTCCAGCAGTCACACCGTGTGCCTGAGAGTATTGTCCAAATACTTCTTGAACTCTGTCAGGCTTGGTGCTGTGACCACTTCCCTGGGGAGCCTGTTCAGTGCCCAACCACCCTCTGGGTGAAGAACCTTTTTTTAATGTCCAACCTAAACTCCCCCTGACACAACTTCAGGCCATTCCCTCAAGTCCTGTCACTGGTCACCACAGAGGAGAGATCAGAAGTCCCAATCACCTTTACAAAGCCTGAGGAAAAAAACCAACAGACCAAAATAGAAACACAAATCAATCTATAAGTAACAGATGATATGTCTGCAAGGCCAATTTTTTGCTCTGATGTCGTTCATAGACTTCACAGACTTCACTTCCTCTTCTCAAGGGCTGTGGGTCAAGATTCATTGAGCAAATATTGCTACCTGCTGCTGCTGTTCTCCTTTTATCTGTTTGTGTCCCTTCTTTCTTCTCTCCAGGAGGCTTGTACATCTTCTGGAGCACTTTTTAAACTTTTCTACTAGCTGTTACTGAACCCTCTCTCCTCTCTGTCATTTAAGTAGCTATCCAGTTCAATTTTTTGCAGATTTGAACAGAAAAATGTAAGAATCAGTACAGCTGAGACCAAAGTTCTCATTTACAGGATGAGACTAGAGAAACTGAACTGGATTTGTTCTATGTGTATATTCCATAGTTGGGTTTTATCAGTGAAGAGGCAATTTCATTAGCTTTTCTTCTAATGGCCTTTTATTCCTTATATGTAAAAAGTTAGTATTTGTTGCAAAGCAGAAGACTTCTTTTTTCCCTAAAACTCCACCAAACCAAACACAAAAACCCAAGCCAACTGAGCAAACAAAAATATTAAGCAGTTGTCAAGTAGATGATAAATAAAATGGTAAAATATTGCTGTTTAGGAACCAAATAAAAGTAATATGTGTAATAAGTGTCTCCGTTTGGCCCTAATGCTATGATTAATAGAGAGGAATTATGGCTTGATAGATAATGCTGAATATCTGCCATTTTTCTTCAAAAATCTTTAGAAATCTATTAAAGAAGCTTAGTGCTAGCATAATGATTGATATGAAAACTACAAAGAGGATGAATAGTTCCAAATGGCTTTGCTCTTAATGTTTCAAGTTTTTTTAAAATTATATTAGTTTCAAGAGTTCCAAAGAATAAAATTGTTATACAGTTCTATATAGCACTCTAACAAAAAGAACATTTCAGCAAATTTTATTATCCTTAGGATTTTATAGTATCCATATATCTAGTATATATGAAATGTAGAAAATGTTAAAAAATGTTAAAAAATTGGTTGTTAATAACCTTTAGATTTAGTGCTGTTTAACAAAGAATTTGTATGTATTGTCGTACACTTAATTAGTAAGAATAGAGTCACGTTTTCAATGACTACTTTTTAACCTTTTATTCCATTAAATTTTACCATGAAAGTATGTGTAGTTGAAAAAATATAGTAGTATGAGTGCTTTTAAATAACAATCATTACAAAAATATGGATTATAATACTGAAGAAAATAATAAGGTACTACTACTCATACAAAAACTGGCCCAGATACTGCAAGCAAAGTGTGTTCACTGCTCTACCTATGCAAGTAACTTAACAAATTGTGTAATTTAGGCATGCAACATGTGTTACTCTTAATGAGAGCTGCATGGTAATTCTCATGCATGGTGTAATATTTGTCCCTCAGGGGCTTATTTACTGAAAACTCCATTGTGCATGAAGCCAGTTTTGGACTTTTTTTTCCCCTTGGAATTAGTCTGAGGGTCATACACTTGATGCATTATGAGAGTGAGTGATAATAAAAGGGCACAACTGCTAGCTGAGATAAAAGATAAAATTGCAATGAAGCAGGAATGTGGGTTTAAAATGGAAAATATATGGGTATGATGTGTGCCCATTTGTGCTTCTGAACAATGACCGATCATCTGTTCATGATACAGATAAAGCTCCCTAATTGTAAAATATTTGTCTTGCATATGGTAGAACAAAAGAAAAAGAAGACACTTCAGGCCTCCTGCATTTTCCTTCTGCCCTTTCATATAGTTTTGTAACTATGTTTGGCTCATTCTCGAATGAGCTTGAACAAACGTGAATTTGTTCAATTCAACAAATCCAGCTTGAACAAACGTGAATTTTGACAATTAAATGTTCAAGTGGAAAAAAGGAAATGTCCGTTTGTATTTGTGATGTAGAATGTGTATACTGAGATGCAGTTACCATGGTAACTGTTGCATCTAGAGAATAACGTGGAGTAAAAGCTCACTATTATAAATGATGAGTGTCAAGCTCAGGTTTCACCTACTACTGCACAGGTCAAAATTATATTAATGTCTTTATCTATCTCCTTTGCCCAAGTACTTCAGAATCAGGAAACATCCATTTTTGGAACAAAAGTTCCATGAAAATATGCTGAGGTTGCAGTGACAATACATACCAGCATGGGGTATATGGCTGTCAGTCCCACAAAATAAACTAAAATTACTAGGTACTCAAGTACAAGTTTGTAAGCTTGTATTAAAAGGAAGTGAGATCTATTACATTGTCTGCTGCAGTATTAGTAAGAAACTCTCAAATTACTACAGTTTTGGATAGACATTACTGAATCTAAAGGTTTTCCTCTGTTTCTATTTGGTCATTCTGAATGGAGCAGCATAAGCTAAATAGAAAATGTATTATTTTAATTGCTGCATACTAGATATAAACACTGGATCATTTAGTGCTGTGGCTCTTGTGCCAGCTACAGTTGTGGTGATTTGTTCCTCTCTGGAGATACATTCTGTCTGCTGTTGTAGCAGAAAGAAAGTGGAAAAGGAAATTTGATATATTTTTTTCCTAGAAGAGGCATTGTATGAGCTTACCTGCTGCTCACCTAGGGACATCTTAGCAGAGCACTTGGTTTGGGAGAAGGGCTGTGGTGAAGGACCCCCTCTGAGTGCTGAACCTCCCTTCTCCCCCACTGCACCGTGGTCAGGGAAGAAATGGCTGCCCTGAAGGATTGCAGTGTAGTGGTGCACTGTGCCCTTGGGCACAGGGGCCCTCTGTCACTTGCATGTTGACAGCTCTGACCAGTCTTAATGTAGGTGCAAGAAGAGGGTGGTTCTCAGTTCTGCAGTTGGATGGACTTGAGATAGCTGCCTGGGCTCCTCATCGGCATGGGCACTGGCACCCCTCAACAGGGGAGGATTTTTTTGGGAACCTAAGACAACAGGACAAATAGAAAAAACTCTCTATTTGAAGGTATTAATTTTAATTTTAACACATCTTTAGGTTATTTTATCTGATAAGTCATGTTGAAATCCACAGTAATAAATAAAATTTTAGGCTTGTCTGAAGGGGATAGTGTAAACTTCTGTAATAGTTAAGGGATGAATCTGAGGACTTCTGATTTCTCAGGCCAGTGCTGAAAGATTCGTTGATATTTGGGCAAGTTATATAAACTTCTCTACAGCATGTTTTGTAGATGTTAAACATTCTTTGTTTTTTTAAAGCATTTGCATGAATGGTGGGATTCATGAGATGTTGAGATTTGGACTCTGCAATGTCCTAGGTCCATGGATTTTTTTGGGACTAGTGTAATGGAGGTTTGAAAAGTTATTAATGAGGTGTTTTAGGCCCTGGTTTTGTCAGCACTCACCTACTTGCATAGAAATTTGAAGCGTTACAACTTTAGCTCTTAAATTGTGGAGGATCAACAGGTGTTCATAACTAGCTCATGTCTGTGGAAAAAACACTGCCTTGTAACATCCTGTGTTAATGAAATTAATTGGATGATCATGTCATTTGACAACTTCAATAAGATTACTAAGCATGCAATTTGCTTCATTTTGTATTAAAATCTGTGCAGAATATTTTTTTCTTCTTTAAATATTCAGCTGCCCCATATTAATGTAAACCAGCCTCCAAACAAATATCCATGGAAACCAGTGAGAAAGTGTGAAACTAATAAAATC